TCATCATCATCATCATAATCATCATCATCATCATCGATCATCATCATCATCATCATCATCATCATCATCATCATCATCATCATCATCATCATCATCATCATCATCATGTTCATCATCATCATCATCATCATCATCATCATCATCATCAGCAGCAGCATCATCATCATCAGCATCAGCATCATCATCATCATGATCATCATGATCATCAGCATCATCAGCATCATCATCGTCGTCGTCATCATTATCAGCATCATCAGCATGATCATCATGATCACCATCATCACCAGCACCATCAGCACCACCACCGTCATCATCACCATCATCATCACCATCATCACCAGCAGCATGGCCATCATGACTAGCATGACCAACAACATCATCATCAGCAGCAACAGCACCACCACCATCACGATACTCATAACTGCCACCACCATCATCATCAGCATCAGCATCATGATACATACTATCATCAGCAGCATCCTCGTCCTCATCCTCCTCATCCCCTTCATCCTCTTCCTCAGATTTAGCATCATCATCGTCCTCATCGTCGTCGTCGTCGACACCGTCATCACCAGCATGCTCATCAACAGCATTGTCATCATCAGCAGCACCATCACCATCACCATCACCATCACCATCATTGTCATCATCATAATCATCATCACCATCATCATCACCACCATGACCATCACCACCGCCACCATCATTAACATAACCATCATACTCGTCATCCTGACCATCATCAGCATCATCATCACCATCATCATCATCATCATCATCATCATCATCATCATCATCATGATCATGATCATGATCATCATCATCATCATCATCATCATCATCATCATCATCATCAACATCACCATCACCATCATAATCATCATCAGCATCATCATCACCATCATCCCCTCTTTCTCCTCTTTCCCCCCACCCTCATCCTCTTCCGTCTCCTCATCCTCCTCTTCGTTCACTTTTGTTCCGCCTCCATCCTCTTCCCCCTCCCACTCTCGCGGTGCGGGCGCTCCGTGCTGATGCGCACCAAGCGGCTGCGCTGGGCGGCGCCCTTGCCCCTGCAGACCAGCTCCTGGGGCGACGCGCGGAAGAGCTCCGCGAGGGCGGCCAGGAACAAGACGAGGAAGGAGGTGGAAGGGAGGGAGGGCGACCAAGAAACGCAGAGGGAACAGGGATGGAAGGAGGAGGAAGGGGGGAGAGAGGTGGCCGACGAAGAGACGGGGGAGGAGGCGGGCGGGGTCAGGAGCAGGAGATGGAGGTAGCTGTATTCCCGGGAGGGCATCCTGGGCACTTGGCTTCGCGGCACGATAGCGCTCGTGAAAGTGAGCTCGCGGCGTCGGACTCTTGCTACGAGGCCACATGCGAACCCTACCCCGCCACCCCATGATTTCTAAGGGGGAGGTGGGCCCCACTTCGCTCGGGATCTCTCCCCCGAGCGGGGTGAAGCCCACCTCCCCCCCTTCGAGATCGTGGGGTGGTGGGGTGAGCTTCGCATGTGGCCACCGATCTTGCACCGCTGCGAGCGAAGAGGAGGGGATACGGGACGCGGCAATCTATCTGCCCCCAGGCGACCTGCATCCGCCACCGTCGTGCCCCGTGGTGCCCCCTCTGCACGCGGCGGCGCGATGGAATGACAGGGGCTGTATGGCAGGGCTGCGGTAGTCTTCTCAGGGCCCCCCCCCTCCTGGTAGCAGACCGCTGCATGCACCTCCCTCTACCTCCCGGAGCCACGAGGAGGAGGAGGAGGAGGAGGAGGAGGAGGAGGAGGATGAGGAGGAGGAGGAGGAGGAGGAGGAGGAGTTCACAACATGATGTTCGGAGCGTTACCGTCAACGCCCGTCGCTCGCCGCACCGACGCGGCAGCGGGGTCCTCAGGCGCCCACGGAGGAGAAGGAGGAGGAGGGGGAGGAGGAGGAGGAGGGGGAGGGGGAGGACCCCTCGGAACAGACACGGTGTTCGCGCCCCAGATGGGACGCAGAAGGACGTGCCAGCACGATGCGCCCCCCCCTCCCCCCGTGGAGGTGCACGCCCGAACCGAACGTGTGCGATAGCCCACGCGCTCCTCACAAGATGTGCCGCTTTCTTGGCGGTGTGGTCAGGAATCGCTTGCCAACGAGAACGTACTCTTCAGTCGGGCCTGTCCCCCTGCAGGGGGACTTTGGACGACAAAACTAGAAATACCCCAGAGATAGCCCCGAATGGCCAAAACATGCTCCAGAGATCGTCCCCAGACTGTTTCTTCGACGACTCTTGGAAATTCTCCCCCTGTAGAGGGGCAGGCCCCGCTCAAACACGTACTCCAGAGATGGCGCTGAGCGCGCGCGGCGCCCTTTAGGGGGAGCCACACACACACCACACACACACAGAGAGTGCACGCGGACTTGAGCGACGCCCACCCGAGGCAGCGACCCCGCCTGTGATCTCACGCTCTCAGACCTCTGAGCCCGCGCGTCGCCCCTGCGGGGCCGACGCACACATTGTACGATGACGGCATTCGTTCTCTCGGGGAAGGACAGACCCCCCTTTAGTAAAACGTGGTTTAGTGAAAACGACCTGAGGCCCAAACCTGGCGGGCGCAAGCCTGGAAAATAACGGCCACGGCGCCCTCTCGAGAACCGAAAACGGACAATTCACTAATCGACGTGTCACTGTTGGGGGTTCTGCCCACCCCCGATTCTCTCTTCAAGGGCCCCGACGAGGCCCGCGCGCGCAGGCATTCCGAGACGGCGCTGGCCAAACAGCGCCTGCACAGCGCCCGAAGAGTTCCTCCCCGAGGCCACGTGCTCAAACTCACGCTCGTTTAAAACAAAAACCGACGGACCAGCGCGCCCGAGCTTCCGAGACGGGCCGAGCGTGCAACCGAGGTCGCCACGAAGGCCCAAGATGCCTCCAAGACGGCCCAACAAAGATGGCACCAAGGTGGCCAGCCCACCACGGGCTCAAGACGGCCCAAGATGCTCAAGGGCCCGAGAGGGCCACAAGAGGACCTCCAACAGGGTCCGAAGAAACCACAATCGCGGATTCTCGCTGAGGCTCTGGAACGCTTTTGACATTGTCGCCTCTCAAAGCTTCTATTAACACACGACGGCCCAAGAGACCTAAAAAATGGCACCAATATTATGTCGGGCGTGCCCCCCTGCAAGGGGATTTTCGACGAAAAATAAAAAATACCCCCAAAATACACCCAAACGGCAAAAAAATGCTCAAACAATAGCCCCCAGACTGTTTTTGGACTATGGTTTGATTGTTTTGGGGGTATTTTTTACTTTTCGTCGAAAACGCCCCTGTAGGGGGACAGGCCCGACTTAACACCAGTACGGGCCAAGGGGGCACGGCATCCGGAGAGGCCCCAAGACGGGCCCCACGACTGCCCGGAGACCTCCGCCGCACTGCCAAGAGGGCCCCAGGGCAGCCCACGAGAGACCCGGACGGCCCGCGGGGGCCTCAGGGCGGCCCCAAGGGGACCCCAAGACTGGCCCACAGGAACCCAAGACAGAGCCCCAGATGAGCTCCATGAGGGCTCCTCCAAAGTGAGAACGAAAGCTGTCACATGTGACGGTCTTCCTCTGCCCCCTCCTCCTGCTGCTGCTCCTGCTCCTGCTCCTCCTCCTCCTCCTCCTCCTCCACCACCTCCTCCTCCTCCTCCTCCTACTCCGCGTCCTGATCATCGCCACCAGAATCATCGTCACCATCATCGTCCTCATGCTCATCCTCATCGTCCTGTTCCTCCTCATCATCACCATCACTATCACCATCCGCATCCTCATGCTCATGCTGATGCTCATGCTCACGCTCATCCTCATGCTTGCCCTCATCCTCATAAGCATCCTCATCCGCATCGTCATGTTTTTCCTCGTGCTCTTCCCCATCCTCATGATCCTGATCACGGCTCTGCAAAGCTTGGGGGCACGAGGCGTACACATGACGGCCTCCCGCGCCCCCTCAAACAGTCGCGTCCCAGAATGCTGGGTTGGCAAGGTCGGGACTTGCCGCAGGCAACTAAATGTTTCCGACTCGTTGGGGTTGGTTTTCGAACGTTGGCGCAATGGGCCGTCAATGCAGTGTACGGGCAAGCGACTCTCAGGTTCTGAAGGCTTTGGAGGGGCCGACGCGCGGTGGAAAACTCCTACGTCAAGACACTATCCGACGTCGCTGGCGTGGGATGCACCGAACTGCGTCGGGCTGGGTCCACCCCTCCGTGGTAGCCAGCGGAAAATGCGGGAAACGCAACGCCTCGTCGTGCAACGTAGAGTGAGTCGACTAAAAGCATACGTTCGAGCCATTGACCTTCTGGCTGCCAGATGCAAGCCAATCAGGGTGAGATGGTCTGGATGCTGCGTCAGCGCTCTTCTTCGTGGCGTGAGGGACTGGCGCAAAGGGTCCAAGAAAATGGTCACCTTCCAACGTGAGCCCCCTCCATAGTATCGCTGCGCGGGTCAAGGGGCGATTGCAGGCCGTTGCGGTCCGAACAAGCTATCTAGGAGCCTCACGGGAGTGCCATTGCCCCTCTCACCCCTGCCCGACGGTGGCTTCGCACACCCCGCGGGGACAGGTGGCATGCCTCAGCCTCGAGAAGCGCCAGGATGAGCGAAGACAGCGTGGCTCACTCGCGTGGGCGGGTCAGCAGATCCAGACGACTGCAGCGCGAATGAGCGGTGCTGCCCTCGCGGCAGTCGTCCTTTTCGAAACCGGGTCTCTTCGGCAATGCCGATACGTGTCCTCTGCTCCCTCGAGCCTCGGGAGCCTCCCTCGGCGGGCCCAGGCTGTCGAGCGGGGCCGCGCGGGCGATGGACTTCTCGGATCGGGCGAAGGGGGGGGGATAGCAAAGGGGGGGGGGTTGAGAGTCAGCTCACGCAGCTGATTTTCCCGGCGCCTCCTGGCGCCCGAGGCGGCCATGTATCGAGGAATGGGCCCCTCGGTGAGGCCGAAACCAGCTGCATGCAGCGAATTTCGTAACCCCCCCTTTCCCAATCCCCCCCCGTCCGGCCCTAGAGGAGGAGGAGGAGGAGGAAAAGGAGGAAAAGGAGGAAAAGGAGGAGGAGGAGGAAGAGGAGGAGGAGGAGGAGGAGAAGGAGAGGAGGAGGAGGAGGAGGAGGAGGAGGAGGAGGAGGAGGAAGAGGAGGAGCCCAATCCCCTCCTTTCGCCCGGCCCGAAATTCGGGGGGGGGGGGGCTGGCGTCAGCTCTTGGCCCTGGGCCCCGATGCCCTGCCTCAGAGCAAGCGGCTCCCAGCGCGCAGCCTCGGGTGGGCCCCACATCCTGGCCATCGCCCGGACGTCCCTTCCCTGTGCGTTTTGGTTGGTTTCGTGCGTGGCTTTTTCGCAGGACGACCCAGGATGCTCCTCAAGGACCCCCGCCGAGAGAAAGTGAACACGTCCGAGCCGTGCCAAGCATCTGCGTGGGTGTCGGGGTCCCCGAAGCTGCAGCCGCTGCTCGTCATGCTCTTGGCAGGGCTTGCAGCCCCGACGGCTCCGGACGGAGCCCCAGGCGGTAGGCCGGCCACTGGCGCTGGCTCAAGAGCTCGCTGTGGCCGGGATCCAAGGGCTCGGGTGTCCGAGCGAAGCGGTGCAGGATGCGTCATGCTGGAGACCGCGGCGGCGTCTGGCTGAAGGAGGGGCCTGCCTTACCCCTTGCCGTTGCCACTGAGGTTGCCTGCTCCCTACTGCTGCGCTGCCATAGATGTTCAGTTCCAATTGTCAGCTGCAACTGGAAATGCCCAGCTTGGATGTCTGGCGGGATCGGTGGCGGCGGCGGCAGTGGCCCTGAGTATGCACATTGATCTGGCGAGACTCACCGAGACTCAAACAGGAGCCATCGTACTCGGACTCTGGGGTGGCTATCTTCGGGCTTCTATCTGCATGTGTCATGGCTTCTTCGTTTGCGATTCTTTTCTCGCTGTAACTGGTGTTCTCTCGGACCGTTTCGATATCGTACTATTTTAGCGTTGCTGCTGGGTGAGTTCCTCCTCCTACCTTAGAGTGACATTGTGGAGATGTTGAAGCTGCGTATTTCTCCCTGGAGTTGTCTCTGAAGTTGTTGGAGAAGAATAGTGACCTTCGAACTGACAAACATACTCATGGCAGTATTGTCTCGGACGTCCTGATGATGATGCCCTGTCTGGGGCGTTGCATGGGCCACAGTGGCGAGGCTCTTTGTTGTCAGCATCGTCTCGTTGCGGAGCTTCCAGACATGGATAAAGGCATCTGCAGCCAGAGGCGGGCTCCCCTCTGGGCGACGCTCGGCTGTCGTCGGGCTTGCCGTCGCCACCTTGCAGACAGCCCTCTGGACCGCAGCCGTGTTCATCTCAAGAAGTGTCTCGTCGTCATCTGCCGAACGTCTCGAATCACCCGCTGAACTACTGGACCGTCTGGCAATGGCATGCTCGCGTACTTTTGCCACTTGGGGGCTTGGCGTGTCCTTTTCCTTTGGCTGGCTGTCCTCCTTTGGCTTCGGTGGCCCCCGGCCGCAAAACTACCATTGGTAGTACGATCCGAGTCGGCGACAGCAGTTGCTGCATTGCCAAGCACTCACAGCGCGGCCAACGTCGGGCGTTGGTAGAACTGGGTTTAGTGGGACATAGTTTAATGATGTGTACTGGGGGACGCCCCCCCAGCCCCGTTCCACTAACCGGAACTGCCGTCACCCGAAAAAACACCAGCTACGGCAGACCTGGTTTAGTGAGTCTGGCCAATTTCGGGGCTCTGGGGCCCTACTACTAACCTGGTCCCCTTACCTAGGGTCCTGGCTATGCCCGACAAAATGGCTCGAGAGAAGATGATGCCACGTACGGTCACGAACGTAGCCTGGCTGGGCAGTGAGCCTCGATGTTCTGCTGAGTGTACAGTCGGGATCGATTGGAGAGGACACGCGAGAAACCACAAGACCTTTCTGAGGGCCACACTACAACAAGAATGTACGTCAGGTTCGTGTCGTGACGACTTCAGCGTTGGTTTCTGATACCGCGGGGATCGTTCAACCTTGAGCGATCGGCCGTTCCCGAAACGTCCAAATCGTTCCACATCGAATGATTCTGGGTCGCCCCGCGGCGTTCAAAATTGAATGCCGCTGGCGGGGTCGCCGCCAGTCGACACGACACGAACCTACCGTAGAAGACATTGCTCGCGAAACACAGGACACATGGGTACCCCCCCCTTCATTGGGCCAGGTCGACCCATCCATCCACCTCGACTGTATTGTACACAAGGGTCGCAGAAGGGGCCGACCTGGCCAACTGCCTTTGAAAGATGTGCCACTTGAGCCAACACGTGTCCGGTGTCTCCTCCCATATCCTCGTCCTCATCTTGATCGTCCTGCTCCTCCTCCTCCTTCTCCTCCTCTTGCTCCCGCTCCTCCTCCTCCTCCTCCTCCTCCACTTCGAAGGTACGCTCCACATCCTCCTCCTCCACCTCCTCCTCTTCCTCATTCTCCTCCTCCACCTTCTCCTCCTCCTCCTCCTCCTCCTCCTCCTCCTCCTCCAAGGTACGCTTTCTATGTTTCTCTCTTCTCCCCCTCACCCCTCCCCCTCCCCCCCCCGTCCCCTCCCCCTCCCCCCTCCCCCTCCCCCTTCTCTCTCTATCCTCCACCTCCTCTCTCCCCTCCTCCTCTCCTCCTCCTCCCTCCCCTCCTCCTCCTCCTCCCTCCTCCCCCCCATGCTCCATCCCTTGCTCCTCCTCCCCCTCCTCCTCCTCCTCCTCCTCCTCCCCCTCCTCTTCCTCCTCCTCCTCCTCCTCCTCCTCCATCTTGTCTTCTGTCTGCCTGCCTCCGCGGCGCCCTTGCCGCTCCTATCGCTTCGGCTGCGCCGCAGGGGGGGAGGGGGTCCGGAGGAGGGGGTGGCAATAGCGCACCACGGCCCGAGGCATGCGCTGCGGACGGGCGGACGGGCGCCCGAGGCATCCCTATTAGGTGACCTTTGAGCCCTTCTGTGACAGAAGGGCCCTTTGGGGAGCCCATGGCGAGCCCCTCTGTGAGAGAAGGGCTCGTCATCCCAGTCTATGCCGTCCTCCTGCACCTTTCTCGCTCAGCATCTTCTCGTTTGTGATCGTTGTCGTTGTGTGCCTTACAGTTTGTCAAGTCTCCCCGATGTCGTGGCCCCGACGTCGTGATGCTTTCAGAACGTCGACCCCCAGAGGTCTCATCCTCTTCCCTCCTCCTCCTCCTCCTCCTCCCCTCCTCCTCCTCCACCTCCTCCCTACCTCCTCCTCCTCCTCCTCCTCCTCCTCCCCCCTCCTCCTCCCTCGCCCTCGTCCTCGTCCTCGTCCTCGTCCTCCTCCTCCTCCTCCTTCTTCTCCTCCTCCTCCTCCTCCTCCTCCTCCTCCTCCTCCTCCGGCGGATCCCGCCGTGGCGACGAGAAGCCTCCAGGCGGCCCAGCAGCGACCGAGCACGCCGGGGAGGGCCGCAGCAATCTCGACGGGCCCTGCGCTCCAATCCCGCCACGGCGGATGGCCTCAGTCCTGCACGCATCCACACACGGCCGGGGTGCCGGCGCAGACTTCAACGCGCCCCGCCGCCCCCGATTCGATGTAGGTTGGCATCGCCAGCGGGGAGCTGGACTTCGGCCAGCCGGCATGGCGGCAGGCGCGGCATGGCGGCCAATAAGGAGCCGACCTCTCTATACACCGACGCCTTTGTCTGGCCTCGCACGGAGTCTCGCACAAGAAAGCGGATCCTGGTGTATACGGGATCCTGGTGCATACGTTCTTCGATGTTTCCCCGGGGAAACGGGGATAGACGTATACACCACGCCACCCCGACGTCGTCCCCGACCCGCGAGAAAGTCCTGGGATTGAGAAACCGCCCGCCACTGGGAATGTGTATGCTCCAGTTTCCGATTCAACGCGCCCCGCCGCCCCCGATGATGTTGGTTGGCATCGCCAGCGGGGCGCTGGACTTCGGCCAGCCGACATGGCGACAGCTTGAAAGGCACAGGGTGTTGTCAATCGCCTGTGCTGCTGCTCCTGCTTTTGTCGTTCTCCCCTCGCGCGCGCCCTCCTGCAGATCCCCCACGATGTGCGGCTGCAGGTTGAAGTAGTTGTGCCGCACGCCACCCACGTTCGCGTCCATCGAGGTGCAGTCCACGATGTCCACCCTGCAGGAGGGCTAGCGGGCGAGTGGCGGTAGAGAAGCGGCCGTTCCGCCATCGGAGACGCCTGCCCCCCGCGCGGCTGGAACAATAATTCGCCGGCCCAACGGGCCAGGGCGTGCTAAGATCTCCGGTAACTGGTTAACAGTATTAACAGTATTTCTAGTTCGCGCGCGCGGGGCGGCCCCTGGGGGCCCCCCGGCGAAAAGCACCCCGACCAACGCCCGACCGCCGCCCGACCGCCGCCCGACCAAGTCTACTCAGAGATGGTTTTCCTTCTGGGTGCGGCCTCTCAGGCTCCCCAGAGCGCGCTCAGAGTGCCCCAAGAGGCCCCCAAGACTGCCCAAGAGGCCCCCGAGACGCCCAAAGAGCGCTCGAAGTCGCCGAAGATGACCCCAAGACGGCCCAAAAGGCCCCCAAGACAGCCCAAGAGGCCTCCAAGACGCCCCAAGAGCCTTCCAAGAGGCCTCCGAAGAGAGCCCCAAGAGGCCACAATCGTTGATTTTCATTGGTTTTTTCTATGTTTTTTGTATTCTGGCTTTTTCGGCTTCCGGACGCTCCAAGACGGCCCAAGAGGCCCCCAAGACCGCTCCAAGACGGCCCACGAAGCTCCCAAGACGGCGCCGAAACGACCCAAGAGAGCCCTCAAGACGGCCCAAGTGCCGCCCAAGACGGACCAAGAGGCCCCAAGACGGGCCCAAGAGGGACTCAGGAGGGATACCGAGAACTCAAAAATGGAGCCCTCCGTCCCAGAAGGCGCCCAGGAGGTCCCAAAGAGGCCCCAAGAGGCCTCCAAGAGGCCCCAAGATGTCGCCAAGAGGCCCCAGGGAGACTCCCAGGAGGCCCAAAAGAAGCCCCAGAAGGCTTCAAACATGTCTCCCAGGCGCCCCCGAACGGCCTCTCAACAGACCCCAAGAGGCCCCCCAAAGAAGCATCTTGACGTCGACTCTATTTCGCCCCATCGAGAGACGACCCCCAGGGAACTGCTTCACCATCAAAACTCCCCACGCAACGCGTCCGAACGACACCCGCCCCCAAGAGCGCAACATGGGCAACGAACACACAGACAAAAAACAGCGATGCCATATCACGGGCCGGCGGAATGAGCGAAGCGATTCAATAACAATATGCATCTGAACAATCAACACGCATAGTTACGCACGGTGACGCGTCTCGGAGGAGAGCCACCCAAGACGACGGCGGGTCTTCCCAACCAGCCCACACCCGCCCAAAATCGGTGCCCGAATCCTCCCAGGTCCCCATCCTACGGCAAGTTCGTGTCGTGTCGACTCCAGCGTTGGTTCTTGACACCGCGGGGATCGTTCAACCTTGAACGATCGGCCTTTTCCGAAACATCGGGTCGTTCGACATTGACCGATTCCGGGTCACTTGCGGAATTCAACGTTAAACGCCGGCGGAAAAGTCGCCGCCAATCGACATGTCACGAACCTACCGTAAGCCGTTCTCGAGGCGGAGGAGGAGGAAGAGGAGGAGGAGAAGGAGAAGGAGGAGGAGGAGGAGGAGGAGGAGGAGGAGGAGAAGGAGGAGGAGGAGGAGGAAGAGAAGAAGGAGAGGGAGGGGGGAGGGGGAGAGGGCCTGAGAGATGGATGGGAGGCAAGGTAGATATGAAAGAGGGGACAGAAGGATGCTGATGCCGGGGGGGGGGGGGGGTAGTAGGGAGGATGGAGGGAGAGGAAAGGACACACGGACGACGTGCCACGAACCTACCGTAAACCGTTCTCGAGGCGGATCCAGCCGTGGCGACGAGGAGCCGCCGGGAGGCCAACCAGGCCGAAGAGCGTTGGAAAGGGCCGCCGCTGTCTCGGCTAGCCCCACTCCTCCTCCTCCTCCTCCTCCTCCTCCTCCTCCCCACCACCCCTTCTCCTCCTCTCCCACCTCCTCCTCCTCCTCCTCCTCGCCCTCCTCCTCCTAATCTCCTCCCTCATCCTCCCATCTCCTCCTCCGCCCCGCCTCCTCCTCCTCCTCCTCCCCTCCTTCCTCCCTGCCTCCACCTCCACCTCCTCCTCCTCCTTCTCCCCCCCGTCCTCTCCTCCTCCTCCTCTTCCTCCTCCTCCTCCTCCTCCTCCTCCTCTCCTCCTCTTGCCTCCTCCACCTACCCTCCTCCTCACTCCTCCTCCTCCTCCCCCTCCTCCTCCTCCTCTTCCTCCTCCTCCTCCTCCTCTTCCTCCTCCTCCTCCTCTGGCTCGTTCTCCTTATTCTCCTTCTCCTCATCCTCCTCCCATTCTCCTGCAATCAGGCTGAAGAGCGCCAGGGAAACCCAAGCAATGGTGGAACAGAAGCCGGGGAGAGCCGCCGTCGGCTCTCCTGACCCTCCCGCCGCACGTCGGGTCCTGAGCACTCCAGCCGCAGACGTCCACGACGGCGGAACAAGTTTACGCACTGCCGCTCTTCGCCCGCTAGAAGAGTGCAAGCCAGGGCTCGAGCTAAACGGTGATTTCTTGTGTGCGTTCGTGTTCGTTCCTCCCGCTCTGTCCTCGTTCTGCCTCTGCTGCGAGACGAAAGCAGAACGGCGACGGCGACGTCGGCGTGGAGAACATATCGGGCCACAGATCAAGCCGATTCCCCGGCGCGTCGGCGGTGCGGCGCCATGCTCCGACCTCGTCTACTCGGACCCCGCTTGGAAGCCCCCTCCTCGTCCTCCCCCTCATCGTCGTCCTCCTCCTCCTCAATATCCTCGTTTTCCTTCTCGTTCTCCTCCTCGTCCTCCTGCAGATCGAGGCGCTTCCCCGGCGCGTCGGCGGTGCGGCGCCATGCTCCGACCTCGTCAATTCGGAACCCGCATGGAAGGCCCGAGGGGGGCGGCAACGGGGAGGAGGAGGAGGAGGAGGAGGAGGAGGAGGAGGAGGAGGAGGAGGCGGAGGAGGACGAGGACGAGGAGGAGGAGGAGGAGGAGGAGGACCAGTGGAAACCCAAGAATCATCACCGATGATGGAATGAACCCTCCCTCTAAGTTCCCTCTTCATAGGCCCCTGTAACGGTTCATTTCCATTGAGGGAACTGCCTCGTTGGAAGACAACCGTTTGAAAATCCTGAAGCATGCGAAAACATTGTTCTCGGGATTTCAACGCCACGTATCAACCTGACTGCTGCGTTTTGGCGGCCCAGAATCGTGCCATAACGCCTTTTTGGGATTTCAACATCGCGAATCAACGTAACTGCTGCGCCCGCATAATCCTGAGTCCTTCCAAACACATTGTTTGGTACGTTGAGCATGGGAACCCGTGGAATCCTGCAAATGCTCAAAAAGAATGTGCGCGGCGCTGGGGGGAGAGTCACATTTTGAAAAGGAACCGCCCTCAATGCGTGAAGCTCTTGCACTTGTGCAAAGAATGCGCGCGGCGCTACAGCGAAAACCACATTTTGACAACGACCCGCCCTCAATCCGCGAAGCTCTTGCGAATGTTTAAAACGAATGTGCGCGGCGCTACAGCGAGAGCCACATTTTGAAAACCACCCGCCCTCAATCCGTCAAGCTCTTGCAATTTGTTACAAAGAAATGTGCGCGGCGCTACAGCGAGAGCCACATTTTGAAAACGACCCGCCCTCAATCCGCGCAGCTCCTGCAAATATTGAAATCGAATGTGCGCGGCGCTAAGGCGACAGCGACATTTTGAAAACCACCCGCCCTCCATCTGTGAAGCTGGTTACTTTTTCAGCTTCAAAGTCATAAAAGGTGGCTCAGGCGAAAAGCCCGGCACGCCCTAAAATTGGCCTCGGGGTGCGACAGGGGGGAGTTATCCATAAGGAGAAGGAATGGAGGAGGAGGAGGAGGAGGAGGAGGAGGACGGGAGGAGGATGGAGGTAGGAGGAGGAGGAGGAAGGAGGAGAAGGAGGAGGAGGAGCAAGGGGGAGGAGGAGGAGATGAAGGAGGAGGAGGAGGAGGTTTTTTTTTTTGGCCACCAGGGCCGAACCAGTACAGCGCATCTAAACCGACGCCGCTGGGACGGGGACGGCGCAGGCACGACCCTGGACCACGCCCGAGGGGGCATAGCCTCGAGTCGAACCTGCCCACGTCCCCTTAGTCACTATCACCTGAAAAGGGGCCCGACGACGAGCGGAGGGACTCCTCAACCTCCATCTCCTCCCTCGGGCCCGCGGCGGCGGCGGCGGGTCCGCCGCTGGTGGTCCTTCGGCCACCGCTCGCCGCCGTCTCGCCAGTACCTGGGCGCGGCGCGCCTGCGGAGGGCCTGCGCGACTCGCCCCCCCCCCCCGCTCCCACCACCGTCGCCGCCCCCAATTCTAGCCCGAACACGGGCGCTGACGGCAGACAGAGACTGGAGTGGCCGAGCAGCAGCTGGGATGGAGAGCGGGCGATTGGCAGCGATGTACTCAGCCACCACGGTTGGATTCGCCGCCTCGGCCGCAGCACGCGACACCGCCCACGGCTTCTTGGGATGGAGCCCTCGCCTCAGCCTCCTGAGAGCCGTGGTGCCCGCACTGCTACGCTGCTCATCAGTGCGTGGCTTCTCACACCGCTTAGCCAACATATGAATTCGATGCTGCGCGAAATATCCGCACAGCATACAAAACAAAAGCGGGCGCTCCTGGTCCGCAACCTGGGCACTGGCCAGCTGGTGGCCGTGGTTCGGGGAAGAGGTCAAGAGCTCCCGCACCAGACTCGGGAACCCCGAACATCCGACCTCGGGCCTGGAGCCCTCACAACCACTATAAAAACGAAGACAATTGCTGCATCTGTGGCCCCATAACCAGGGCTCCCACGCATGCCAGCCGTCAGCTGATTTAAAAAGTTTGACACGCTTGTCTTGCTTCGGAGGCCTCTGGTGCTGGACCCTCGGAAACAGCGGCAAAATCTCCGCAGCGAGTCGTGCCACCGTTTCGAGATCTCTGATCGAGCTACTTACTGCATCCCACTCGGCCTGAGCAGGCTGAGGGTGTAACATAATTGCTTGCCTGGCTTCTCTGTCCGCGCGCCAATTAGCTTGACCGATCCATCTTTCGGGGGCAGGGAGTGCATCGATCACACT